GACGCTGCCTCAGCGTGGTCTGCAGTTCCATGTCCGCGCCCAGGATCCGAACCAACGAAACACTGGGCCGCCTTCAGCGGAGCGCGCGAACCTAACCGCTCGGCCACGGGGCCAGCCCCGATAGCTGCCATTTTTGAGTATTAGTATGTGCCAGAAACCATGCTAATGAGATAACATGTTATCTCATTTAATTCTCATAACAACCTCTAGAGGTTGGTATTACTTTTCTCATTTTACTGTTCAGGAAGCAGAGACTTAGAGAAATTCAGATACTTGATCAAGATCATACAGATAGTGATAGAACCAAAATTTGAATCCATATTTATCTTATTCCAAATCCATGAGATGATAATATCCTACCTTTTTGTCTTCTTACATATACAATTCATACAAAAGGATTAATTTGATCATTCATCCAGTTGTTTCAAAAGTTCTTCTGTACTGAATAGTTTAGTTAAACCATACTGGGTAAAAGGCCAGCAGAAATAAATAGGACATTCTTCATGTTCCTAAGAAGCTTTCCGGGGAAGAATTTGAGTCTTGCTTAATTTTATCAGAGAAATGGGACTGTAGTTATTTCTTACCTTCTTTAACGTATAGAACAGCATAGGCTGAGTTATGTTGCAATGACAAACAGTCTCATAATCTCAGTGGTTTGAATCAAGATTAACTTGTTGCCCATGCTATTCAGCCCCTGAGGCTTGAGTAGGGCCTCTGTTTTATGTTGTCATCATTTTTGCTCTGGGACCCAACACTATCTGGAACACTTATGGTCACTGTGGCAGGAAAAAAAGAGAGCTCTGAAGGGTCTCAGTGGGACGAGGAAATGCTCCAGCGAGGAAGTGACACACTTTGCTTACTCTCACAACACATAGGTCAAAGCTAGTCATACCCCACCACGAGGGAGCCAGGACAAGCAATGCTCCAGAAGGGGAAAGGGCGCAGAAGGGCGAAGAATTAGAATATTTGGAAACCAGCACTAATGACTACCACATTTACAGTAATTTAAGAATTCATAGTTTAATATGTGGAAGGACTTTAAAACAGAACACATTTTATGCCTGACATGTGTCAGTGTTTTATCAGTGTCATGGAATTCTATTGAGAAATTTGGTAATTTCAAGACATTTCTTCAAATTCCTTCTTTCAGGCTATCTTAAAGGAGGTAAAAAAGATACTTAATGGAAAAGTTACTACTAATCATTATTCTTTGTTTTTTTAATTTTTAGCACAATGTGTCAGCTTATGGCTCTGAAGGACTAGCTTGGGATAAACCAATCCTACTGTCAAGAATAAAGAAAAGCGAGATAGAGCATGCCCACGCACGTGCACATGCACATGCACATGCATACACACACACACACACACGCACAGAGTCTGAGTAAAGAGTTCTTAAAATGGACAAGAGTAAGGGTCTAAAGTCTTGAAGAGAAAGGTCTCTCACTGAAGAGAACCTGACATTTTATGCTGATTTTCCCCTAAGGTGCTTGCATATTCATATCCTGGGCAAAGAGTCTGAGAACACAAGGCCAGAGTAACTCAGTGGCAAAGTGGAAGAGGATCTGAGCAGAGCTTTTGCTGTTCTCATGGGCCTGGGGAGATAAAAATTGGTGTTTAGACCTACTAACGCAATCAAGATGTGAGGGGCCACAATTCTGGAAGAAAGGTAAGTTCTGAGAAGTGAGACACATTCTGAGCTGCTTTTCTCTTAAAGGATTTTGCTAATTCTTAAATTGTTCTGGGGAGAGGTAGAGAAGCTGGATAGGAATCAGTTGCTAAGAGACCAAAAAACTCCAAGCAGAACTATTGGATGTCTCGTGATATTGGAGTGAAAAAAAAATTGTAGTTCAGGACCTGCCAAATGAGGGAGGCCTCATTAGCAATCCAGCTGGGACCCCTGAAGTACTATATTTTAGGAATCTGGGCAAGCCAGAAATTAGATAAAGCCTTGTGAATACTAAAATCCAATTTCAAACCAGCTCAACCCCTGACTGGATTAAGCAATTTATCCTATATTAAGCATCTTCAAGGAGCCAAAGAACATTCTTTTGGAATTTGGATAGGATTATTCAGAAATTTTACATTTTTTTCCCCATAAACCATGTTTAGGATTCAATAAAAATTACCAAGCATACCAAGAAACAGGACCCAGTGAGAGAAAAATATTAAAACACAAGCAGAAACAAAATCCCAGAAAATATTGAACTTTCAGAAGAATATTTAAAAAGAAAACTGATTAATATGTTAAACAAAATAGATGACAAAACGAAGAACTTTACAATAAAACTGGAATGTATAAATTCAATGGGAATGGAATTAAATAGAACATCAGGAAATTAAAATATACAAAATCTGAAATTAATTATGCAATAGATGTAATTATCAGCAGATTACACAGCTGAAGAGCAGATTAGTTATCAGGAATATATCTCAGTAGAAAATATCCAAACTAAAGCAGGGAGAAAAGACTATAAACTATAAAATGTTTTTATGAAAAATTAAAATGGAGATAAATAAATGAAAATAAACAGAAAAATTGATAGTTTTCATGGATTAGAAGAGTCAATATTACAAAAATGGCAGTTTTCCCCAAATTTAACTTTCAAGTCAATATCATTAAAAGAAAATCACAATTTTGTATTTATGTGTGTGGAAATTGATGAGCTGATATTAAGATGCATGTAGAAATGAAAAAGGTTAAGAACAGCTGAGTCTATCTTCAAGAAGAACAAAGCTGGGGGATTTATATGACCAGATTTCAAGGTTTATTATAAAGCTGCATTATTGAAATGATATGGTATCACTGCAAAGGTATGCAGTCTAAATTAGTACAACCCTTAGGAAAATAGATGAACAGCAAAAAAAAAAAAGAAAGAAAGAAAAAAATAAACAAACGGAAGCAGACACATCCAGTGGAAAAAGGCCTGTCTTTAAAACATCCATAAGGACGTCCACATTGAAGAAAACGCGTTTCAATCCATACTTCACCCCATACACACAAAATTAACTGTAGGTAGATTCTGGATCTAAATGTGAAAGGTCAAATTCTAAAGCTTCTGAAGGATAATGTAAGATGCTATCTTCATTACCTTTATGAACTAGGCAAAGATTTCTTAACTAAGACACAAAAAGTATTGACCATTAAGAAAACTATTGATGAACTGGATGACGTTAAAATTAAGAACTTCTGCTCATCCTGTGACATCACTAAGCACGTGAAAGGGCATGCTGCACAGGAGCAGAAGGTATTCATAATACATGTATTTGACAAGGGACCCTTGACAAATCAATAAAAAAAGGCAGGCAACCCAATAGAAAAATGCGCAAAAGATTTGAACAAACATTTCAAAAAAGCTCTCTAATTGACCAATAAGCATATGGAGAGATGCAAATACAAATTAAAATAGCACCAGAATAGCACTACTCATCCACCAGGGCGACCGTAACTAAGCAAACAAAACTAACAACACTAAGTGCTATTGAGGAGGAGGAGTTATTGGGACTCACTTTCCCACACTGCTAGTGGGAGTGTAAATTAGTGCTATCACTTCGGAAAAATGTTTGGGGGTAATTACTAAAGTTAAACGTACTCCTACTCTGTGACTAGAAATTGCACTCTTAGTTCATACATAACTGAATTGCAGATACATGCAGTAAATGCTCTGTGTGAGAATATTAATAGCAGCCCTATTCCTAATAGCCTTGAATGTTATCAACAGCAGAATGAATATGTTGTGCATTCATCCAAGGGGATGCCACATAGCAATGAAAATGAATATGTGAATTATTGCTACACACAACACGGATGAATTCCTCAAACCAAATATTGAAAGAAAGATGCACAGACAATAAAAACCACAAAATGTATGATTCCGTTTATATAAAGTTCCCCAAAGGGCAAACTTAATTGACAGGGTAGTCAGGGAGTTGTTATCTTTGAGGAGTAGAAGGAGGTGGTTAGGAGGAACATAAGGGGAGTTTTGGGGTGCTGATAATGTTTCATTTCCTGATGTACGGCAGTTACATGGGTTTGTTCATTTTGTGAAAAGGCATCAAGCTTCACAGTTATAATCTGAATGCGTGTTATGCGTCAATAAAAATGTTCATTTAAAGACACTAAAAACAAATACATCTAGTTATTGAAAAACACGATTCTTGCAAAGAATCCTTACAATGCTGGATATTGAGTGTGGATTCAATTTTCACATTGCAAGTGAGTCTTGTCACAAAGTAGAGAGGCACTGGATGCTTATTTCAACATCTTCTGTGACGCACCAATAACACGTCAGAAGTAATGTAGTAAGCTGTAAAGTAAGCAAAACGCTGAGATTCTTTCACATTTTCATTTTGATTTGGCTATTTGTTGGGTATAAATACGGAAACTAGAAAAGATCAATTTGTGGGCTTTAGAAGAAAACTTTTGTTTGAATAACGGAATCAATTTATTGAAATTTTTTTATTGTGTATTTCTGTACTTTGTTACATAATGATAATTATTACTATTTACAATTCTGTAACACAGAAGTGCTTCAAGCACATAGTCTCACTTCACTTTTGCCCCTCTTGACTTAAAAATTAAGGCAATTCAGTGTTGATTCATCCCCACAATAACTCTGTAAAGGAGGCTTGGAAAGAATGACTCTCTTCCTTTTAGACGTGAGAGGCCTGTGATGCATGATGCAGGGGGTTAACCTACTTGTCCGGGATCACACATCTAGTAAAGTCCAGACCAAGGGCCAGGACGCAAGTGTTGTGACGTTGATTGATGCCAGTGTTTTTCCACGAAGATCATATTTTCTACTTCTCTGCCTTGATTTGGATTAAGAAAGCTTGGGATCATCAGTTTCGGGTCAGGCCTGGCAGAGATGGAGCAGTGATAAAAAAGAAAGTTGTGTAATAGGACAAAGTTGAGCTGAGATGGGTGGAGAGCTGGACTGAGGCAAGATTGGACCCCTATTTCTATTATCAAACCATAAGCCGGGAAATAGAAAAAGGACAGTATACCATATTTTTTATTAATTTTTTTTTAAAAAACCCAGAATATGAAAAGTATGTAGATCAAGATACTGAAAATGCAGTCTCAAGATGACGCATTTGTTCCTTAAAAGGTTCTGCTGTTTCACAAAACCAAAACTTCGAATCTTCTACCGTCTTCCTACCTTCCTTCCAGTCCTGTTTTTCTGGGGAATTACTTGCAGAGCTGTGTTGGGAAAATGTTGTGTTTCCTGGGGAGCAGGAGAAGAAGAAGGATCACATAAAGGAAACTTCACCTCTGCATCAAAACCCCCAAAGCCAGTGAAGCTCTCAGACTTTCAACTGCCTGACCCCTGTGGCTATTCTCAAAGGGCCTTCACTCATTGTCTTTGCACAGATGGGAAGTCGTAATGCCCTATCTCTCCATCTCAGGACTCTCTGCCTGCGCTTTAATGGGATAAGAAGTGATATGAATGACTGTAAATCACATATCTCCCTTCCAAAGACTTGGTGACCACAAGATGAACTGGTTGGTATACTTTGGGTTCATTTTTAGATACTTTGAATTCATTGTCCATGGGTGCAAAAAATATTTTGGGACTTTCTTCCCCTCCCTCGTTACCCAATGGGTCCTTCCTCTCTCTAATGTCTGGTTTTCATTGGCACCCATTTGCCCCAGAGACTAGAACTGACCTTTTATCTCGTCTCTGATACCTTCCATTTTCCCACTGGTTCCCATCTCAAGGATGGAATCCTTCTCTGGAACCCAGCAGGGTCTTTCCTTCCTCCACATTCTTGCGAGTTCCTGTCCTCTCTCCAACTCTTTGATGAGGCTTAGGGTGAGGGCTGCTTGCACAACCATGTAGGTTGTTGCTAGGTTCTCATTGAGACCTCATACTGGAATCCTCTTTTGCCAGAGTCATGCTACCTGTATCAGTTATGATGAAAAGGAGCAGAAAGAAATTAATGGGGGCTCAAGCAATACAGCCATTTTATTATCTTCCATGATGTTTGTTTGGAGGTAGATGGTTTCCCCTTTGGTATAGCAGACGGTTTGTGTCCTCAAGGACCCAGGCTCTTTCTATTCTCCCCCCTCCGTGATGTTTGGCTACTTGGCTTTTTGTCTTCAGACTTGCCACCGTATGGTCATAAGATGGCTGATGTGGCTCCAGATGACACAATCTTATTCCAGCTACCCAAGCAGGAAGGAAGGGGCTGTCACAAAAGACATTCTCCTCAAGAAGCTGTCTTTTGATTCAAAATGTGAAGCTTCCAGTATACTTCCCTTTCTGTCTCATGGTGGGGAATTAAGACATGTTCCCGTGTCTAGCTGATCACTGATGAAGGGGATTAGGATTTCCATGGCTGATTCAGGCCAATCGGGATTCATCCTGGGTTCAGGATGAGCCTCACTGCCTAGGGATGAAGGGACCTCTGCTGAACCTTTTGAAACAAAATTGGGAGGGAACAACTATTGGATAATCATGAGGACCCAGTCTGAAGTTGGGCTTTGCACCCAGACACTCTGCTCTGAGAGGGTGAGTTCAGCTCTCAACTTTCTCGTTTGCCCTGACCACTGCCCATGGTGAGTACAAAAGAAACACAGAATGAATGAACACATGAATGAGTAAATGAATGAATGAGCGACTGTATGCATGCCTTTCTTCCTTATTCATGACAGACTTACCAGAACCTTTCTCCTTATCCCGGTGTTTGCCTCTACGAAGAAGCTACTTGGCGTTCCGTTGTCACAACTAGTTATGTATTTTATCATTCCGTCTTCTCTATTCATAGTTCTAAACTCTTTGGCTTCCAGGAAGCTTGTCTCTATCATGTTCCTTTTTCTTAAGCAGGCTTCCCGTCATCAGATCCTTTTCCTTTCTTCTCTGTTCTTCCCCCTCAGCAGCGTTCTCCTAGCTGGCCTTCCTGCCACTCGTCTACTGTTTCTTATTTTTTAAAGGCAGGTGCATTGGGGTATATTTTAAATATACTAAGACTCATCATTTTTAGGTGTAAAGTTTAGTGAGTTTTGCCAAACTATGAAATCACCACCACAAACAAGATGCAGAACATTCTTGTCAGACTCAAAGGCCTCCTTTTGCCCCACCTTGCTCCTTTGTAGTCAGTCCTCTCTTATGCCTCCACCCTTGGGAACCACTAATCTGATTTCTGTTCCCATAGTTTTGCTTTTCCATACTGTCATATAAGTGAAATAATATAGTAAGCAGCCTTTTTTGTTGGTGAGGAAGATTCACCCTGAGCTAACATCTGTTGCAAATCTGCCTCTATTTTTGCTTGAGGAAGATTGTCCCTGAGCTAACATCTGTGCCAATCTTCCTCTATTTTGTATGTGGGTCACCACTTCAGCATGGCTGATGAATGATGTAGGTCCTTGCCTGGGCTCTGAACCCACAAACCCAGGCTGAGGTGGAGCATGAGGAGCTTTAACCACTACACCATGGGGCCAGCGGTAAGTGGCCTTTTAATTCTGCCTTCTTTCACCTAGATCCACGCTTATGAGAGTCATCCATGTTGTTGCATGTATCGGTAGCTGTTTCTTCTCCTTATTGAGTAGTATTCCATTTTATGGAGGTACTACAATTTGTTTATCCATTCGCCAGTTGATGAACATTTGCGTTGTTTCCAGTTCTTGGCTATTATGAATAATGCTGCTGTGAACATGCACAGACAGGTCTTTGTGTCGACAAATGTTTTCATTTCTCTTGGGTACACAACTAGGAGTTATGCTACATCATATGGTAAGTTTATGTTTATCTTTTTAAGAAAATGCCAAACTGTTTGCCAACTGGATATTCCACTTTACATTCCCACCAGAAAATATGAGGATTCATTTCTCCACATCACTTATATTTGCCAACACTTATATTTGTCTGTCTTTTTGTATCATAAGCGTCCTAGTGGATGTGGCTTTGTATTTCATTGTGGTTTTATTTTGCGTTTCTCTAATGATGTTGAGCATCTTCTAATGTATATAATAATTAGTATATTCTCTCTAGTGATATGTTTCTTCAAGTCTCTTGCTCATTTTTCAATTGATTTGTTTGTCTTCTTTTTATTAGCTTTACAAGTTCCTCATATGTTTTGGATACGAGTCTTTTATCAGATACATGATTTGCAAAGATATTCTCCTAATCTGTTGGGGCATGTATTCCTGTTTTCTTCTTGGTGACTTGTTAAGCACAAGATTTTCCATTTTGATTGGAGGAGATGGGTTGTGGCCAGAGAACACAGGGCAAGGTGAAGAAGAAGACTGGGATTTCTCCTGTTCTCTCCATTCCTGTGGCAATTCTAGCAGGGGCTACATGGCCCCTGTGCTTCCAGCTGCTGGCTCTGGAACTCCACTGCTTCCCTTTTTCCCTCCAGCCCCATCTCTCAGTGTCCTAGTCATCCCCTTGGACGGTGACCTCTTCCAATGCTTTGCAATTAATTCCTCATATTAAAAGTATCTGATTGTAGGCTCTGTTTTTCTCACTGTATCCTGACTGAAACAGCATTGCCGCCAGACAAAACTTCTTAAAACACTGTTCTAGGTGCCTCTCTATTGCGATTTTCATTTGTCTAAATTCTTTTGTTAGATTCCAAAGGCTCTTAACCTGGCTCTGGTTAAAATGATGCATTACTATTTTATGCACCTTCATCCATCGTGAATACACTTATCTTTAGCATAATGCATATCCCACTGTTACTTGACTGCACACTCACTCTCTTCTTCTAGACTGTGAGTTGGTTCTTTGAAGGCAGGGACCATATGCTACTCATGGGTTTATGCCCATACAGCAGCCCCATCCATGCCCAGAATATGTGCTTTGGATCGTACAACAGAAGACTACTGCTCATCAGAGGGAATGTTTAGTGATGACAACATAAAAAATGTCAAGGTCTGCCCAAGTGGAGAAAGTCCATTTTTAGACTAGGCTTCAGTCAGCCAGTGGCTCTTCCAGGAGGAGCAGGTTAGAATAGCCCTTGATCATCAGAGCATAGCGGATCCTGATGTTGGCATGCATATCAGGCAGAGCTTCAGTGCTCACAGCAGTTTGGCACGTGATGGGAATGCAACGTGAAACTTCCTTGCTATTCTTGCTTTATCTCCATCCTCCTGCATGTTCCCACTCACCCCTATACACACACACACACACACACACACACACATTTTCTCTCTCTCTCTTCTCCGCCTAGAAAATGCTATTTGCTCCTAAAATTTCAGCCTTTAGATTATTCCTTCTGAGACACTTCCTGTAGCCCAGGCAAGCAGAATTAATGGTTCCTTCTTCTGGTCTCCTATAATCTGGGCACATTACTTATAAGCGTTTAGCACATTGAATGTCATTAGTGGTTTGTCTGTTGTCTCTCTCTTGGTTAGATTTGGGACCACATCAGGCACCTTTTCATCATAAAGCTGACCCACAGACCAGCACAGAGGACTCTTAGCACACGCAATCCTTTTCAGTTTCATGTACTTTTCATGTAGTGATGTTATGGTGAAAAAAACAAATGCTTAGAACCTGAACTTGGTTCTGTGCTGATTATTATCTAATTTTATAGAGGTATGAGGTGAATCAGGTTATAGCAGCCCATTTCAACTCATCTTTTGGACCAGGGAAATAATTTTCCAACCATTTGTAGTTTTTTCTATCGTTTCCATTAGTCATACGAAACTTCTCGACACTTGAACATGTTCATGTCATGATCACTGCCCTCCAAATTTTATTTCAAAGAATTTTTTTCTAGAGCTTTACATAGTCCTCCAAAATGCTTTAATTTAGAAATTCTATATTCTAGAAAACTCTTCCAAATAGTTATGATAAAAATAATTCTGAATAATATTATCAGACTTGTCTTTCTCACTTATCTTACAGGTCAGTCTACTGCTTCCTTGGGTTTCCATTCTTCATTGCAAAGCCCACCAAGGGGTCTTCTTTAGATTCAGCTAAACCTTCAGACTCACAAGTTATGGGATCTACTTGACGTCCATCTACTCAGAAGATATGGGACAGGAGCCACGCTTTGCCAGCAAAGCAGAGTTCAGCATTCCTCTCAGCTGGAGCTCTGTCAGCTGTTGTGTACACAACAGGGAGATGAACCCACATCAGGAGTACATGGGATCTGCCCTGGCTTCACAGCTTCGTACCCCCAAAGGGCACCAATGTATCTTGTAACCGCTACAGTGGTATAGCTTCCAGGTTCCCCTAAGGGTCATGTCTGATGATAAGGGTTACCACACTCAGAGAAGTCCCCACACAGGACATCCTAACCGGGTTCATTGATAGTTTCTTCTGGTCCATATGTAAGCTACCTGTCAGGATCATTTTTACCATAACTGATGTTGCCTAGGAACATAGTTGACATTTTAATTTTATCAGATGTCAGGAGAACAGGGGTAATCAGAGGTTGAATTCTCACATGGAGGGCGAGCAAGTTTGCTCCATTAAACCTTTGCCCATGCCCATATCACATAAAAGCCAATTTGCTTAGTCTGGTACTCAAGGGCATCTGCAGCTGCAGAGGGGCCTTTCCAGGTTAATTCCCCTCCCCTCCATCTTAAGCATCAGTCGTATCTAATGTCTCACCATTTTCTGGGAACACTTCACACTTTCATATTGTCTAAACTTCTCACCCCAAAGGTTTCCCCACTCGTAAACGCTCCTCCCATGTCCATTTGCACCCTGTTTTCCAATTCATCTTCCCTTGTGAGGGCCAAGACCAAATGTGACGGCTTCTATTAAATGTTTCCCTGACGTGACTCCCCAGGCAGAGTTAGTCATTCTCATCTCTGCCCCCACAGCATTTTATTCACACCATTGTTTACAATGAAAAAAGACGGAAGGTACATGACAGATGTCACCTTGACTTTCAGTGAATTCCACTGGCATCTTCAGCAAGACTGGCAGCCTCTGGAGCACAGGGCAGTCTTGGTCTTCGTGTCCCTGGACTTCGCAAAGTATGAGCGTGTTGTGGATGCCCCAGAAATATTGTAGAGAGTTTACTGAAATCACATCGATTCCCATGATAGATCTTAAAAATTCCTGAACCATTTTAAAGGTGAAAAAGCCGACGTTCACAGTGTTTTGTAAAGGTTTGTAATAATTGCAAGCACTTCTTGCGAGCTTAATTTATGGCCACAGTTGACATTTCTACAGTTAATCGTCACTACAGTCTTATGGGGTAAACACTCTTCTTGTCCCCATTTAACTGATGAGGAAACTCAGGTTTAGAGAAGTTGAGTGACTTGCCCATGATCACACAGCTGTCGAGAGGTGGAGCTGGGATTCAAACCCAGGCAGGCTGGCTACGGAGTCTGACTCGCACCCCGATGGTCTAGTACCTCTCATACATTGGAGGATGCCAATGGGCAAGCCAAGGGCCATAAAGACCTTTTATTCTGATTTTCTGAAAAGATCAACAAGTTTAGAGTTTAGGGTACTTATTCTGCTCCCCTTCTCCCCAGGGTCTGTGGAGAACAATTTTGAGGTCATCTTTAAGTTTCACCATTGTAGGACCCACTGGAACAATTGATAAGTTGAGTAAAATAATCTATTTACTGTCTTATTGGGACACTGTAGAGATTATTTTTATAACATTAGTGAAATGCACTGTAACGTTTTGACTTTTGGCCTCAAAGATGATTTTGGCAATTTGGGTCGTCATGATGGGAGTTTGATATGTCTAGGTAATTGATATGGATAAGTGATTTCATAGACAAAGAAGACAAGGAAGGATTGAAGCT